AATTATTTAAATTAAAAAATTTTACTATCACCAAACTCAAAATACAAACTTCCGAACAAATAATTTTTTTGGTTATTAGTACTCCCTCCGTCCCAAAAGAGTTGTCTTGTTTTTCCATTTTCGTCCGTCCCAAAACAATTGTCCTGTTTTCTTATTTAGTAAGTGTAGTCCCCACTTTATAACAAAATTATTCATACTTTTCTAAACTACTCATAATTATTACTCTAACCTACTTTTTAAAATCATTTAAAGAGTAAGGACATTTTAGTCTTTTATTTCTATTTTATACACACTTTCAATTAAATATTATTATTCCTTAATTCTCGTGCCAAACTCACAACAAGATACTTCTTATGGGATAGAGCGAGAGTATTATTTATTAAGACCTATATAAAAGTTATTAAAATTATTTTTTTATTATTTTGTGAATATTTTATAAAATAAATTAATATATTTTACTAAAAATTATATTATTGTGGGCTTTTGATGATTTGTTCACTTTTAAAATTTTATAATTTCTAATAGACATATTTTCAAATTAAAAATAAATATATAATATGATATTTTTATAAAAATTATTTATTTCATAAATAGTACTTTGCTGTTGTATTTTAATAATAAATATAAATTTGAAGCTATTTGTAATATCCAGTGATGTAGACAATTTATGTTTTGATGTAATTGAATTGCAATATAATAAAAAATACACAATATGTTTGCTTATTTTTATAATAAATAGTAATTTTTAAATATAGATCAATTTTAATGTTATTATGGTTTTATTCATCATATTATTAACATATTTAATTATTTATCTCTTTAAAGTTATATATTTCATAAAAATAACATTAAAAATAATATCAAAATTTTATACAGTGGAAATGAATATGGTTCTATATAAAAATATAAATTGTTAAAAGATAAAAGTTACATACAATTAAAATTAAATATATTATTATTATTATTATTATTATTATTATTATTATTTCAATTAAAAAAATACTACTATTCAATTTTTCTATTTTAACTAAAATTTATTATTTTTTTCGCAAAATATTATATCAAAATATTATTTTATTCTGTCATGAAAGAAAGGTGACATTTGCTTTTTTATAAATTTTTTGATATTAATATCTCTGTTAGTCTCTTATAATATAAATATAATGATATTTTTGGAATAAATTACGTCAATATAAAAAACAAAATTCAATATTAATTATAACGACACAAAAGACAAACGCGACTCGTTTTATGAGACGAAAGTAGTATTTAAATAAAAACACAGACAAAAAATTTAAACTCGAATAAAAACCAATCAAACCTATAGAGCTCACAATTAAAGTTCTTTGTTTTTATCAAATCTCAATAACAATAATATATTTTATGACAATAACTATTGATTTTATTATAGCTATTGGATTAATATTTTACTATTTCGGATAGTCCGGATGTAACGGGGGTAGATTTGTAATCTTATTTTACTTAATTAATTTAAGGGCAAACTGTTTTTTAGATCCCGTAACTGGATCCTTTATCATTTTAATCCTATAAGTGGAGCCTGCAACTTAGTCCCATAAGTGAAAAATTTTCGCTGATTTAGTCATCCGGCGCCGGAGACGCTCGCGTGGCTCGCCGGAGGTGACGTGTCCGCCAGGTGTCCCGCCAGGTCAGCGACACCTGGCGGACACATGGATTTTTTATTTTTTTGATTTTTTTTAATTGGAAAAAAAAAATTTAAAATAAATTTAAAATAATTTTAAAAAAAATTTAAAAATGCCAAAAAAAAAAAATTCACGTGTCCGCCAGGTCAGCGACACTTGGCGGACATGTCACCTCCGGCGAGCCACGCGGGCATCTTTGGCGCCGGAGGACTAAAACAACGAAATTTTTTCACTTATAGGACTAGTTTGCGATAGGCTCCACTTATAGGACTAAAATGATAAGAGAGTGTAGTTACGGGACTAAAAAAAACAGTTTACCTTGATTTAATTACAGTAGCGTTGAATCACATGAAAAATCATATTGTATGAAATGTGTTAGTGTGCTTTTCAATTTGATTTAATAATATAGGTTATAATTTTTTAAATATATTACCCTGAAGGCATTTTTTTTTTTTTTTCTAATATTATGTCTTTATGAGTTGAATTTGTGTACAAAATCTGGTTTTAATCAGTAAAACATGAACAAAATCATTTTTATTTTATTTTTATTTTTTTTGTGTTTCTAGTACCTGTAAATTTTCAGAGAAAATAATACTATATATATATATATATTGGCGATAATTAGTACTTGAGCATGTGTTAGTTATATTTACTTAGCAAGATTTTTTTCAACATATTATGTGTTATCTATATTAAATTACTAGAAAAGTTGCTTATGTTATAAGTTATATTGAACCGTGTGCTAATTATGTTTATTTAGTGTGATTTTTCGAACGTATTATTTTGTTATCTAAATTTGTTATTCATCAAACAAAAATAAATAAATAAATAAATCATTCTATAATAATAAGTTATCCGGGGTTTACGTACTTAGTGTGATTTTTTCGAATATATTATGTTGCTATCTATATTATGTTAGATGCAAAGAAAAATTTCTTCTATAATAAGTTATACTGGACCGTGTGCTAAATATGTTTTCTTAATGTGGTTTTTTTGAAAATATTATGTGTTATTTATGTTCTGTTATCGGTAGATTTTTAGGAAGAAAAACAAACATAAAAAGTTGAACCGTGTGTTGATTATGTCTTCTTAAGGCGTTCTTTGAACATATTATGTACTATCTAATTTAGGAGAAACGGTTGTGTTTTCTATTTATTTATTATTATTACCACTATAAAAAAATAATATATTTGTAACGGAATTTCGTTCCTAAAATTCACGTAGGCAACGTAATTCTATTCATAATTCCGTCTCTAATGTCATTAGTAACGGAAAAAGTAGATTTAAAGACAAAAAAAAGTTTTGTTACAAAAATAATTTGTTCTTGTAGTGTACTATTATTGTTATTATTTATTTTTTTACTAAATTGTATGCGATGTTTTAATTACTTTTTAAACATTCGTGTTAGTCATTAATGTTTTCTAATAGTGCACTGAAAAACTTTAAATCGAATGCTTTTTATAACGAGAATGAAGATTTTGAATTGTAAAGTAAGATTTTTGGTATCTAATGCGTGATTTTCTTCATCAAGCTCATCAAAATATTAATGTCATGTTGTTCTTTAGTTATCAATTGGTTTCCTCGGCTGCTAATATTTCGTTCTTTGATCATCTCTAATGACTCTCAAATCATGCGTTGTTCTTTCATGATCGACTTGGAATTTGTTTTTGTTCTTTATATTCGTTGAATGAAAAATTAAATCTGATTCAACAATTTTCTTGACAAAGGAGAAATTGGAAAGTGAAATGAAGAATTAGGGGCGATGAAGATGAGATTTTGAATGCTGGATGTAAGTTTATGTGCTAATTAAAATTACTTTTCTACCGATTCTTTTAACTATGGCCGTTGAATTAAATTTTAATTCGTTGAATTAAATTTTAATTGGATTGGTTAGGGCTAATCAGTATTGTGATGATCAGCCCTAATCAGCACGATAACCATCCTTCATACTTTATATATTCAACAACTAAGCAAATTACTCTTTCATAAAAAATTAAAAAATAAGTTAACTTTTTTTTTTTTTTTTGTCATTCATAAAAAATACATTTTTTTTTTTTCTAGTAAAAATTCTTACTACTTTTGATACGGCTTCTATTCTTTCTATTTTTTTTACTATAAAAAGTATAAAGTAACAAAAGATACAATAGGACATTACAATCGTGCTAAAAGTGAATAATGAGACTATTTTTCGATCACGAATGAAGTATTACCTTTAATATATATTTACTAATATAAGCAACTACATCTATTATTATTTTTTTGGAATATACATTTATTAAAATGAATAATATAAAATATAAAAACAGTAAAAATTGGTATATTATCTAATATATATAACATCCAATTGAGTCTAATTTACATTTATTCAACGCAACTTGGCACAACTAATTAAAATTAGTTAAGAATTAAAATAATTAGGAACACGACTGAATTAAGATTATTATTCATACATTTTATTTTCTTTATAAAAAATTACTTAATGTGTTTCCTTGGGAATCTTTTCAGATTTTAGTTATTCGGCCATCTTTGAATTTCTATTTATTTTTATCATTCACATCATTTTCTCTCTTTGTTGCATGGAGAGATAGTACTATCACTACAAGAAAAAATCATTTTTGTAACAAAATTTTTTTGTCACAAAATTTACTTTTTCCGTTACTAATGACATTAGAGATAGAATTAGGAATGGAATTACGTTAGCTACGTGAACTTTAGGAACGGAATTCCGTTACAAATATATTATTTTTTTGTAGTGTATGTAGAAAATAAAACATATTATCTCAAAAGCACCAAACATAATCTTTATAATTCAAACCTCCGACATTTCCGGGTCATGCATAACACATATAGTTCGTTTAGTACGACTTGTCTTATCAAACCTTGTTTGCAGTCTATTAAATTCAGAAGAAAATTTACTTAAAACGCATTCAAAGAATAGCTGCCTCAAATTTCTACATCATTAAGAAAATAATAATAATAAATAGAAGGCAAAAAATGTTAGTTTTTTTTTTTTTTTTTTTTTTTCAAATTAAAAAAAAAAAAACACTATTTACGTTATATAAGATTTTCATAAAAATAAACTATTTTTTTCACAAATTTTAATATCAAAATAAATTAAATAAAAAGTCAAATAAATATTTCAATATCAAAACCTAACAAACCCTAAATTGCATGGTATATTGGAATCTAAACAGCTGTCTAAATAACATTTTCAATAGTTGAAGTTGCTAGTAGTGTGGGTCAAAGGTCACTTCAATAAAAGAGCATATTTTCTAGACATTTATCCTTACCTATAAATAATCATACAAACTTCACTACTTAAACACAAAAGTAGAAAGAAATACAACTAAGGGATCCTCTCTTATAAAATCAATCAAATATATGCTCTCAAAAATGGAGGTTTTCTTGGCAACCATTCTTTGCCTATTTGTCTCCATCATCCTCTTATCTCTCCATTTCCTCTTCTCCAAGTCAAAGCCACGCGCCGCCGCCGCCGCCGCCGCCCATCCTCCCGGAAAGACGGGATGGCCGGTTATCGGGGAGACCCTCGAGTTTCTCTCGACGGGATGGAAAGGCCATCCGGAGAAGTTCATCTTCGACCGTATGACAAAGTACTCGTCGCTCGTATTCAAGACTCATCTTTTAGGTGAGAAGACCGCAGTCTTTTGCGGCGCGGCCGGCAACAAATTTTTGTTCTCGAACGAGAACAAGCTTGTTGAAGTGTGGTGGCTGTCTTCGATGGACAAGATCTTCCCGTCGAACGAAACTTCTTCGAAAGAAGGGGCAATCAAAATGCGCAAAATGCTCCCGAATTTCCTCAAGCCCGAAGCCCTCCATTCCTACGTCGGGATTATGGACCACATCGCCCGGCGACACTTTGCCGACCGGTGGGACAACAAGGAAGAAGTTGTCGTCTTCCCTCTCGCAAAAAGTTTCACCTTTTGGATCGCGTGCCGGCTCTTTGTTAGCATCGAGGATCCATGTGAGGTCGAGAGGCTTTCCGCGCCGTTCAACCGTTTGGCCTCGGGGTTGATATCGATCCCCATCGACCTCCCGGGAACTCAATTTAATAAGGCGATCAAGGCATCGAATTTAATCAGGAAAGAGCTTCTTTCGATCATCAAGCAGAGGAAAATCGACCTCGCTGATGGAAAGGCGACGCCGAAACAGGACATTCTGTCGCACATGCTTCTGACGAGCGACGAGAACGGGAAATTCATGAGTGAGTTAACCGTCGCAGACAAGATTTTGGGGCTGCTCATTGGTGGCCATGACACCGCCAGCTCTGCCTGCGCCTTCATCGTCAAGTATCTCGCCGAGCTGCCGGAGGTTTACTACGGAGTCTACAAGGGTGAGCCTAGACATACATGACAAAAAATTGTTTCAAAAATTTTTCGGCTTCCAAAATATATCTTACATATTTTTTTCAAAATTTCTAAAAGTAAAATCTAATCATAATCTTTTATTTCTACTAACTTAAAATTGTTTATAAACCATCTGTAGTTTGAAAAGTAACTACCTTACTTTCCTATAATTTAGAAATTGTATAAGACTTTTTTGTATTTTAAATATATTGTATGAAATCCCAAAATTGCATGGTGTAGACTTTTGAAACCATAGGATCATTGGTAACTTTTCCCTTCTATTAAAAATGAAAGGATAACATTCTAATATTAGAAATTAAGCATTACTGAATTTTAAGCATAACTATTGATTTTCAAGTTACTTTGATTATGCGTAATTACTACCTCCATCTTCCAATTCTATTTTCATTCCCTTTGTAATAGATAATACAATTAGAGTAATATATATATACTGAATTAATTTTTACATATAATCTACTCTCGTAAACATATATATATTAATATATATATATATATATTCAAGTTTCACGAATTTTATAGAACTGGTGATTTATATTAGTGATATATACAATTTTATCTTTTATAAAATAACATTCACATTAAATATAAATATAGATTTTTAAAATATTTGAATATATATTTTTATTTTATTTTAAATCATCATATTTCAAACTTCATCCCAACAACATCTTATTCAAAAGAAGAAAAAAAAAAAATTCAATAATTCAAACAAGGGATAAGTTGGCGATGAATGCAGAACAAATGGAAATTGCGAATTCGAAAGCTCGAGACGAGGCATTGAGCTGGGAAGACTTACAAAAGATGAAGTATTCGTGGAACGTGGCCTGTGAAGTGATGAGACTCACCCCACCTTTCCAGGGTGCTTTTAGAGAAGCCATATCCGATTTTTCCTACAATGGATTCTTCATTCCAAAGGGATGGAAGGTAGTTACATATATATATATATATATATATTGTATCATATATATGTAATAATGTGATTAATAATTAGATGAAAACAACAAGCTTGAAATTTGATGCAGTTATATTGGAGCGCAAACTCGACACACAAAAACCCAGAATTTTTTCCAGAGCCACAAAAGTTTGATCCGTCGAGGTTTGAAGGATCGGGGCCTGCCCCGTACACATTTGTGCCCTTCGGAGGGGGCCCAAGAATGTGTCCGGGGAAGGAGTATGCTCGGCTGGAAATACTTGTTTTTATGCACCACCTCGTCAAGAGGTTCAAATGGGAGAAAATCATTGCGGATGAGAAAATTGTGGTCAATCCAATGACTATTCCGGCCAAGGGTCTCCCCGTTCGTCTTTTTCCACACAAACCCTAAAAGATTTATTTATTGATGTACTAGTCGCGTCACCGTGTTAATTAGACACGGGTATTAAGTTTTTTAATTTATTATTTTTGTATTTTATACTTGCATATCGATAAATTTATGTTAATAACATATTGTGTATTGTTTTATATTGATAAATATATGTTAAAAGTAATAACATATAGTTGTAAACGACCTCAATATCGTTTCTCTATTTGAGTAAGTTTGTATAAGATGGAAAAATCTAAAATACCATTGTGTTTAGTGATGATGATATTGGTAAATGGAGTTGAGAGTGAGTAAAGTTGATAATTAGATGAGACATATTTGTAGTTAATTTGGTATTAATATTAGTTGATTGATTTGAAAATTATTATTTTTTTCAAAATTATTTTCTTTTATAATAAATTACTTATAAAATATAATTTTAATAATATATACAAACCGTGTCACGAACATCAATAAATTAAATGGGTAAAGTACAATTTTGGTCCGTGTTATTTTGGTATCAAATCATCTGTTCTATTTTCTTCTATTATTTCTGTTCCCCAATAAAATGTTGCCACATGATAAAAGAATATTAATAGAATTTATGTATATTTTTATTATTATTTTATTTACTTGCTAGTTCTTAAAATAATAATAATAAAATTTATATTCTAATTTAATTTTTTTTTTCTATCTCAATTTTTATTATATTATTTTATTGTAAAAATATATCATTTTTTCAAAATATCATACTTAAAATATTGTATATTTAGACTCAAATTCTACATAATATTTGAAGAATTAATTTTCATTTAATATTTATTTTATTTTTAGTATACTATTTTATATTTAAATACTAATTTTACAAAATTTATAAAGTAATAAAAAAAATAATACAAATTAAATTAAATTTTAATATAATTTTTATTTATATTTTAGAAGAAAATTTAAACGATATATTAAATTAGTGTATTATAAAATTTGAATTTAACTGTTATATTAAAAAATAAATTTAAATTGTTTGTATAATATTTCATCAAAATATTGTGTTTAAACAATCTTTGAACATTATATTTTAAGAAAAGTAGTACTAATATATTTTTTATGATAATATAATAGTATAATAAAAATTAGGATATCAGTTGTATTAACATTTTCGCAATATTTCATCGGTTAGAATAAGGAGAAAATGAGAAAATAAGAATAGAGGATTTGATGCCTTTTTATTTACTCTCATGGAAAATTTAATTATCTTACCTTTAAACACTGATTTTATCCTTTATCTATGGAATCAATTCAATTTTAGTCCTTAATTATTATTTTTTAAAAATATATTTATTATATTATATAATCTTATCCAAATACATTATTCTCATTCTTAAATTAAGAGTTATACTTATTTTTATCCAAATATTTTCCATCCCAACGTTCCCACTCAGCCTTCCTGCTTCTGTATTTACTTCATCTACAACAATCCCGTCAAATATATAGAAAAAGTAGGCGAATTGGGTGTTCATGTATGTGTGAAAATGATTTGTTTAAATGAAAATATAATTAGTCTACGGTGAGAATTCTAATCGGAACTTAAGAGGAATTAAACCCTAAGGATAGGATCCGTTGAAATAATTGAGATACAAAAATAAAGAATATGTATAACCTTATTCGAATAGCGCTGGCGGATTCAAATATGCAAATTGACGAAATATTTTGTGTCCTGCAAGCCTATAACGCAACCCTTCCTAAAAAATCACTAGAGTTTTTGTCGTTACTACCACGATGAGATATGGAAAGTAATAAATGTTGAGCCTAGATGTGTGATCATAATCCTAATTTATATCCCTTATTATTAATTGGTCTCATTACCCAATTAATAAGTTATCGGGTTTCTGCACATAGGAGGTCCACACTTACTAAATATATTTAAACCCAATAAAGTAATAGATCACTTAATATGAGTTTTATCTTACTGATAGCTCAGATAGTTACATTTAACCCACAATTGAATTTTTAATCCAACAATCTCCCACTTGGGTAAATGTACACGGTATAACCTTATGAGCTCATAAAAATTCGCTATCAGATCATTTAATGTATATTACCAATCTTATCTAAAAATCACATCAATGCGGATCAAAGCGGTCGTCACTGCATTTTTCGCAATGAGACTGATCAGTGGTCACACATCAATATAACTCAAGATTCGATCAAGTGAGGATGCACAATATGAAAATTTAATGTAATGCGATCTTAACATGTCTATTCCAACTGATCCACCTTAACTTTAATTCAGAACAAGTTAATATTGAATTAAAACTGAATACTAAACAGTGCATGCTGAATACTGCAATATAAAATAAAGTAACTTTAATGTATTTGAACAGTACTAATTAGCTCCCACTAAACCAAAATATTAAGATGCATGTCCACTCTCATTCGAGCAATATGCTTACTGTAGAACTTATGCGGAAATCCTTTAGTAATTAAGCGGATCCACAATCATGGAAGAAAAATGAATATGTTCAATAACTAATTCATGACATGAAGTCGGACTATTAAGTAAATAATGATTATTATTATTATCAAATGATGTACTAGTTCCAATTGATTTTGAAATTATGGAAGAGACAAAACTCTATATCCGAATGAATAATAATAACTGAATTTGTTCAAAATAGAGATCAAAATTAGATTTTGACTAAAGATGGTACCATAAAAAATGTCTCATCCAAAATAAAATGGTAACCAGTACTCAATAATAATCTAAAATTGTCAATGACCTCAACTATAACCTTTTTATCGTCACTCATATAAATGTATCTTTCACCGTCAATTGATTTTTGGCAATAGACCAAAATTCACCCCCAAGTGTGTCTATGATCTAAAATTAAATTAATTTCAAAAGCAAGAACAATAGAATAACCATGTCCTCCGAAAGATCTAACTTAAGTTTCTTCAATATAGTATCAATATTAGATATGTCCAGGATGTAGTCTCTTATGTTACATTTTCCGTTATACCTCATGGTAATGAGACTTTTAAGAAGAATATTCATTTCCGCCTTATCGTTTTTAGTAAAACGTTTCTTAATTTCAACAAGAAATCCATATCATCATATATCGTACTCCTAAAATTTATGCAGTGTTTTCTTAATGATCAACTGCTTTTTATCTGCAGTGTTTTTTCGCCGTATGAGTGGGTTGGTCTACTCTTAATGCCAAGTCAAAATTCATGCAGCCTAAATGAATCAACATTGAATCTTTTCAATGCTTAATGTTGTCCCCAGATCGTGTTGGGACTGAATAAATATGCACATAAATATTTATGAAGTATAATGAAGCTCAATAATAATGCATTTTCATCCTAAGACACTAAGTGCAACATCCATGATCAATCTTTGGATTAATAACATTGATTGCTAGCAGTCATGTGGTTGCAATAATCATATACGGACAATAAATTATGTCAAACAATGACCAATATTTAGACTGATTCACTATTCACATAAGTTAAAAACATATAATCGTCTCATACGTATTATGCAGATATATATTTATTCTGTCAATTACCGACTGTCTTTGGGCCGAAGAATAATCACATGAATTAAAATACACATAAATACTTTCGTTATCGAGTAAACAATCTCATATAAGAGAGGTTACTTTGGCAACTTCAAATACTTGATTCTCACCGTCAAAATGCAACAAGCATTATTGATGAATTTATAATTTTCTTAAACCAAATTAGAATCAGAATTACCTTCAATGTATACAAGTCTGATTCCACAAAAATAAAGAATACGTATAAGCAATTGAATGCACATGTCTATAAGCTACCGAATGCTCCGTACGTAAATTTATAAAATAAATTAGCAATTCTATCACAAGTTATTGAGCAACATGAGCAATTGTCTTTGGACAAATTACTGACTCACTAGTGATAAATTTGTTTTGACAATTGAATGTTGACAATAAAATAGTGTATCAAATAATATTCCGTCTTTGGACAGATCTATTATTCAGACATAAATAACCAAATTATCATCCCCACATTCAATGTCACTAAATATGTATGTAATTACTTAATTTCTGAGTTGCCTTTGGGTCAATCAAGAGTCTTATAAGTCACAAACACAACTTTCTAATATATAAAATAAACTGAATTGACACAGCATAGGCTGCTTTGACAACATAACTATTTCAACCAATTCATAAAATATATTATATTATTTATTACTAATTAAATTTACCTTAAAAATAAAACTGATATGTATACAAATAAAAATTTTAACGGCAGCAATTAATTTCTGGACTCATTGAAATAATCAAATAGTCCAGAAAGTACAAAATGCAACAGAATTATATACAAAATATATCACCCAAAGAGACTATAAGTTAATACACCAAATAATTATAGTCAAATTTAAACAAATATATAATGTCGAAAATACATGCGGCTGAATCTTTAATTTAATTCGACCCTCGAGCATATCAAAATGAATTTGATTTAGAAAATCATTAATAATAAATAAATTCTGCACACAATAAATCCACTTGTAGATACATCCTAAGAAGTGTCGAAGCAGTCACCATAATTAAGTTAGCAAGAAAAAAAATAAAAAAAATAAAAAATGCACTAATTATATCAACCTCAGCCCGTGCAAACAATCTTAAGCATTGTATCAGATCCGGAACAAAGCCTAACATTGATACAAACACAATTGAGTCCACGCCCAGATTCTAGATTCCATAAAATTAACTCGGACTGAATTTTTTTCTTTTTTCTTTTTCTTTTTAAATGCCAATTTGTGTGAATACAAATTCCATCCAATCCAAACCATCTATCAGATGAAAAAAACAAAATCTGCAACACACCCATGATTATAAAACCAAAACCGTAATTGCACATAAATAAGTTCTTGCGCATTATACTGTATGATTAATCATTTTTATTTAACTAATGCTACATTTTTGTCCCGTGGTGTTGGGATTGGACGTGTGACCGTGAGGTCATGGATTTAAGCCCTCGACGTCTCAGGTCACCTGCCACACATGGTTCATATAGTGTAACTTGAGATACAAAAATAAAGAATATGTATAACCTAGGCGGATTCAGATCTGCAAATTGACGAAGGGTTTTTGTGTTCTTCAAGTCTACGATACAACCCCTCTTCAGAAAACAACTAGGGTTTATTATTAATTGGCTTCGTCACCCAATTAATAACTTATCAAATTTCTGC